ACTTGGTGGCTATGTGGTTATGTTTGCATAGAGCCGGGGTATGGAGCATGCGCGTGATTCCGACTGTTAGGCCTCGCATAGGACCCTCGGATTGACTCTGGGTGTTTCACTGGTTCGTTGGCTGCCTTAGATCATCGAGTAAGCCATGGCGAGGTCGGCGGTGGCAGGGTGGGCAAGGCCCGATCGGGAGGGTGCTGAGGTGTGAAGTTGTCTTGTACACGGGAGTGCGTGGCGTAGGCTAGTCGGTCTTTCGAATAATCGCGTCCCTTTTGTAAGACACGATATTTAATAAATTGTCAGTAGCTTCACTTTAACTTAATTCGCTCCAAGTTAGATTAGGATACCTTTGATACAGATAACGCCAGCAGGCAGCGCCATTAGGGCGCATGTCGGGTCTCGATGCGTAGCCACCTCCACGTGGTGAGATCTGGTAATTGGTATTATTTTCCAAAGATTTTTCTTTGGAAAATAATTCCAAGCTAAGAGCTACGCATGCATTATTATTTAAGATAGAGAAAGATTAAAATAGTTGTAAATCTAGCCTTCATTTTTCATCGGCAACCTCCAAAGTCCAAAGATACCAACTTTGCTGTACAGATCAAAAGGTATCCTTATATTTTCACTAACTTTTCGTGAAAATTCCCCATTGTGTGTCGTACCACGTACATACACACCTGTCCTCTTCGATCACGAATCGGTGGGCGATTTTTCCTGCAGAACAGATGAGAAATAAATAACGTGGCTTTCCTTCTCTTCCATTAACGGCAGAATGATGGTCACGTAGAGGTACGTGGCAAGTGTCTCGCAGTTGCCCGTTCCGCAGGCGACACAGATTGCGTCTTCGGGGATTATATCGCCGTTGCAGTTACCAAAGTTACTAAAAAGCCATTTTCTTGCCCGTCGAGATTCATCGTGGACGCAAGGGGGTTAGGTGGTCGGCTCTCACAGCGAGAGTATCTGACCAACTGTGTTTCGCGTAACTTATGCAGTGACGAACGAGGCCAGAGTCCATGGGACCGGGCAGAGTTTCAAATTCTTGCCTCCGTTCCTTGTCCGAAATTTAAGTCGAGGAAACGACCCGGGAGTTTGTAACAGATGTGTCGCTTACTTTCTACTCACACCCTCTCCGTGTTTTCCTCGAGCTATCCTTTCCTCCCTCTCTTCTTCTGTCTCTCTTCAACATTTCTTCCGTCCTTTGTTTTCTCACTCCCTTTCTATCGTATATACACTTTGTTCTATCATTTGTCCTTTCTTCTTCTCAATATTTTTTTCTCTCTCTCTTTTATCTCTATTTATCTATCTTCCTCGTCTTCCATTCTTTGTTTTCTCTCTTTTCATTTTGTTTTTCTTGTCTTTAGCTCCCTCTTTCTTCCTTTTTCTTTATATATTATTATAGTTCCTTTATTTGTCTGTTTACCCGTCTATCCCTATCAGTTTTCCCTGTTCTATGTATATTGATTTATCCCTTTGCCTATCTAAATTCTCTTTCCTCTTTCGTTCTGTCTGCAGTTCTTCTTTCCTCCATCTCTCTATTAATTTGCCTATCTAGCTTCTTTCCCTCTCCCTGTCTCTCTCACCGCGCATCTCCTGTCGCATCTCCTACCTACATCTACCTACACTTTACCCAAAAGACAGAGGCGTCCTCTCCTCAGATACAAGCTAGCGCAAGCATCGCCGTGATTCCAACAACGATAGATCTAACCTAAAAAGAGCAGCAGCGGGAACGAGGAAACAATTACGTGGAAAATTTATTTCTCCCCAGCGCCACGCCGTTATAAGCCGCGAACTACACGCCATTGTCCGTTCTTATTACACTTTTTCCCCGTGGCGCTGCCGCCGCCCGGGTTATTCCGTTGCTCCCGTTGTTTCCGCCCGTTTAATCGGGAATACCGGAATGAAGTTATTAAACTCGCTCAAAGAGGCGAGAGGAGGCCCTATTTCACCGTCCTCCGCGACTGATTCCGACCCTTACCCGGACAGATAAACGTGGATTTATCGCGCCAGCTTCAACGCGGAGGACTCGGATTTGCGGTGGCCTTCACCCCACCTATATTATCGGGACGGGCCGGTCGATCTTCAGCCAGCGCCGCCTGGCGGCGAAATTTATCGCGTCGCCCACGCGCGACGCCTGGATTTGTGGCTTTCAGCGAAACGGTTAGCCTCGGACCGGGGGTTCCCGGACCCCTCGTGCGCGATCGTCATGCTCGACGGTGATTTCGTGAGCGGGAATAGGGGACGGGGTTCCTCCGGAATTCCGAGGTGAAAAACGTGGGGTTGAACGGACTGTTATGCGAACTGGACAGCTGAGATAACGCGATAGGCACTTACGTATGGGCAAAGGAAGCGTGATAGGTTAGATTTCTATGGGAGGACTGGGATTTTGTGCGCTTTCGGGTCGTTGAGGGAATGGAGCATCGTATCAACTGACTTTTATTAGTCGGGGGTCGTACGAGAAGGCATGGGAACGTGGTACTATGCGATTTTTAGCAATGGGAGTAATGAAGCGGTATCTGATGAGTTCCATTAGGTACTTGGTAGAGGGAAAGTCGAAGAAATATAGTAGATTGTGATTTTTATTAATTGAAACAACGTAGTACCACGTGTTATGAGATTGCCTGGCATTAGTTACTCCGAAGAAATTGATATTTTATAAATTAGAACTTAATAACACGCGAATTTTATTAATGCAACGCAGTAGTACATCTATCAGAATTGAAGGAGAATTGAAATTTAGTGACTGTACCTAAATAAATCGAATTAACGTATCTGCAGGAAACTTAAATACCACGTCCCATGTTAACCCTTTGCGCTGGACGATTTTTTGGCTAAAGAAGGGCACGAGATGAAAAATTTTCTGCTATAAAACTGATAATATTTGCTTAGTAATAAATAAGAAATCGTATACTAATTAACACGTCAAATTATTTAATTTCGATACCTTGCACACTGTTACATTATTTTAAATTTGATATATTAATTAATATCGAGCTTGAAATTTTATCAAACAGTGACTGAAGAGCACCTCTCGAGTGCAAAGGGTTAAAAATACCAGGTAACCTGTACCTCTGCGCGAATAATAATTCTAAGTAACAAATGCACAGTAAATCCCCGTATTATTCTACATACATGAAACATAGGATTACATAACCTAACCTAAATCCAATCCATCACTCGATCTTTCATCTACCGTCTACCTATCCGTAAAACCTATAAACCACGTTTACAATTAAACTACAACTAACGCTCACAGAGACGGACACGAGAAACCATACAATCTTGCAGTCGAACGCGAAGTTAGAAACTGTGCCGATTCCTGAGAGCATTCATTCGCTTCGCCACGTGTCACGCTTCGGACAGGCCGTGGATGGGGTAGCATATTATGCAAGCGGTCGCCTGCATCTCTTCGCATCCACACAGCCACGTGTGCAAGCTCACGTTCGATACATCGGTAGATGCCGTCGCGTTCGACCCATTTTCCAACAATGCTCGACCCGTTTATTATTAGATGCGGAGATACCGGCCTGTCGACCGAGCCACCGGAATAAAGACGACACTAGCGCCGCCGGCCCGTATCTCGCTGTTCGACGCACGTACACAGGCAGCTGCAGTCCAACGTGCACGGATCACGCGCGGATGCTGGTAAAGCGATCGTGTATTCCGCCTTGCTGATTTCAATGATTCAGGAACCGCTTCCGTTGCACGTCGTGCGCATGAATAACGTAGCCGTACAGGATCTGTTCATTTTCTGATCTGATTCGAGATTAGGGGGTACACCCCGGGAGTATCGGGATTTGGCTGCGAGATACGTCAATTTTCTGGAATTTCAAGTCGACCAGCGGTTCGTGTCTTGCTTTCCACTTTCTTTGATACGCTGATGTCACGGGTGTGTCGGATATTGGTGGAAGGTTTACAGCTGAACGATGCGATTTGGGATTAGAATGCATCCCGGGACCTGGGATATCGAGTTTTACTCGTGTGACGCGAATCTCAAGCGGATATATGCTTTTTAGAAATTGTTTTCGATGTTTTCAGATGTTAAGACTAGGGACGAGAATGTCCCTTGTGAGGCACCAAGCTTTAATCGTGGGATTCATCGATTGTCCGAAATTCAAGATAGGCAGGTGGACGTGATGCCTATATATGAATACACTTCACGAATAACGTAACTCACAAGGTCTATTAATTTTTCATGTGATCTAGAATTAGAATACGTCCCGAAACTCGAGATATCGAGCTTTGCCTGAATTTCTCACGATTTGGAACTGACAAATAGATATTAACGCGCTCTGGTACCCCGAAATAACCCTGTCAGACGTTAGAAGGGACTCACAGCTGGGAAGCATCAATAAATGATACAGGTCTACGGAATCTGTTCAGTTCGTAACGTGATTTGGGATCAGAACGTGTCTCGAGACTTGGCATACCGGGCTTCGCTTATGCGATTCATGGATTTTTCAAAATTTGAGTAACCATTTTATCACGTATACATGCATCTTCCATTAACCTCCATATTTCACTCGTGAAATAGAGTGAGATGACACTTTGATGACACGAAATAAAATTCCTTCCGTTATCTGCGGTACCACTAGAAATAACAGGATTAAATTCACACGCGTCACCCTGTATATGAAATAAAAATACACCGACGATATTCCATTTAGTAATCTCCGAGGAAGACGCGAAGATCGTTGGATCGTGAAACGAGGGCAAAATTCGCGGGTAAAATCACGCGTTATGCAACCGGAAGAGGGTGCAGCACCGCGTCAGTGGATTCGCAGAGGACGTGTTTACAGAAGACTGACGGGGAGGAATAAGCCGTCGGCAAACACGTAGGTTCAGCGAAAAAGTATGTCATAAGCGAAATTTCGTTTGAGTTTGTTAGAACTGTCTTCCATCGACGGATGGGGTAAGAGGAGGAAGAATAAGGGGTTGAAGAGGAACGGAGAGGAAGCCTCCGTTCGAGAAATGCCTTAAAATGCACGCTACGTTGCACGACTCACCCTCTGACGCGCCGGTACACCTGTTCTCTCCGTCGTCTTTTCGAATTTCCACCCCTTCCTGCTGCTCCTCCTGCTGCTCCTCCTGCTTCTCCTCGCCCTCTTGCTTTCGTTTCCTGAAAACAAACGAGACGCTGTGGTTAAAGGCGAGGAAAATATCACGCGTGCAACAGTTTGACGGATGTCTTCGCGGAGAAACGTGGAAAGTTGAGGGGTTTCTAAACTAGGGGCGGCTCAGCTCAGACTGGCTCGGTAGAATAGTTCTCGGGTCTTGGGATTTCCGAATTTCCAATATCACAAATTTTTCCAACTTTTTCCAACTTTTCCTCGCCTACAAACAACTTCGACATTTTTGGTATGGCATTCCCGACGTTTTAAATAAGGGTTGTTCTCGAATAGTTGAGATCTGGGGATTTTCGGGGAATCTAGTAATTTTTCCACGCTTCTAGTTTAAAGTATCAAGAATTCTGTACGTTCATATTTTAAATACAGATTTTCTTTTTTCGGCAGACAGCTGGTACTCGGGAGTGTCCTACTACCCCAAATTTTGATCTCCTTTGATGAAGATGGAGAGTTTCGTGGAGTGGATTGAATTAGCAGGATTTTATCGATCCTCCCCCGATACGAATTTAAAGATATTAAAATTATTAATTAGGGGATAGTATCATTTTCGTAGAGTCCTATTCCATTTAATTCCAACTTTCTAATTTTTAATAGCAAAGGAACTTTTCTAATTGAAATTACGTTAAACAAAAATAAAAGTTTCATAATATTGCTACATTCTGTATAATTTCACCCCCACATCTACACAGAATTAACGTCAAATACAGGACAGAAATATATCCAGTTTTACCCTACTTACGACTACACTCAGTCTCCATTGTGACCCAACAATCAGTGCTTCAAAATACGGGCTTCCCTTGTACTCGAAGAACCCTCGCCGAATCCTGTCTCACTACCCCAAATGTCCCTAGTCCCTCGCTTGACCTGACCCACCATAACCTCCTAACAAACTATCACGCATAACCGATTAATCACCCGACTATCACCCTGACGATCTCTCCCAGTCTCTCTCATCCAGGAAGCTCAGGAAAACCGCGAAGATCGTGCCAAGAGCGAAGAAACGAGAACCAATCTCAGCGAAGGGATCCAAGTCCTCTCGACGAAACAATTGCCTCCAATTTCACCATCGAACTACTCACGTCGTCATAGATCACCGGCAGACAAACGCGATATAGAGTGTCTGCGGCTGCAGCCGGCTGGAGAGAGCGAGAGAGGACGGGAGAGACAGGATTCAGCACGGATGGAATCCTCGTTGGGTCTCCGCGCGACGTCGATCGTCGCCTCGTCGAGGCGCGGGTTCAACGAGCTGGCTAATCGAAACCGCTTCTCCGCTGCTAACCACTTAACTCGAGAGAAAGAGAGTGGCGAAGGAGGTCCATCATCAGCTCTCGTTTTCTCCTCTCGCGTCTCTCCCCGCGCCGGTATCCGCGGCTATTATTCTTCCGGCAGGAACGAGCGTCCTCGCGGGAACGTGTTGCGTCACGGATCGACTTGGCGTCGTTCTCTGCCCGGTATTTCGAGGTTAGGGCCAAGATGGCGGACGCACTTGGCGCGAATTTTAAGTTCGACGATGTTCGCGTTTCATCGTTAGTGTAATTTCTCGAGAGAACGTGTACGTGTTATGGTGTTTAGGAGAACTGGTGCCCTTTGGTTTGGAATAATTCTTGAATTCAATAGTTTAATAATGACGATAGTAAGAATAATGACATTGGCGGAAATAGTAATAATAGTAATCGGAGTAGCTCGGGATTTTCGAGGTTAGGGCCAAGATGGCGGACGCACTTGGCGCGAATTTTAAGTTCGACTATATTCGCGTTTCTTCGATAGTGTAATTTCTCGAGAGAACGTGTACGTGTTATGGTGTTTAGGAGAACTGGTGCCCTTTGGTTTGGAATAATTCTTGAATTCAATAGTTTAATAATAACGATAATAAGAACAATGACATTGGCGGAAATAGTAATAATAGTAATCGGAGTAGCTCGGGATTTTCGAGGTTAGGGCCAAGATGGCGGACGCATTTGGCGCGAATTTTAAGTTCGACGATGTCCGTGCTTCTTCGTTAGTGTAATTTTTCGAGAGAACGAGTTCGTGTTATGCTGTTTAGGAGAACTAGTATTCTTTGGTTTGGGACAATTGTTAAACTTACTGATTTAATAACAATAATAGTAAGAACAACGGTATTGGCGAAAATAGTAATAATAGTAATCGCGATAGCTCGAGGTTTCCCAGATTTCTTATCATTGGAATACTAATAATGATGAAATTTATATAATAATATTAATGATTTTAGAAAAAATAATTATAATAGTAATGGGGCCTAACTGAGAATTTTCAAAGCTTGATTATCATTGAAATTTCGTAATAAACACGTAATTTATATTTGGTTATTTATTTATGGAATGACATATTAACTGAAGAGTAGAATACAAAGAATTAAAGCGAGATAAATAAAATACAATTTTCTAGAAAAATAAAGAAAACACTTTAATTATCTATATATATATAGTACATTTGTTTCTATCAAACTTTTTAAAATCGTTAAAAAGAAATAAAAGGACGGGAAGACCGAGACTATTTTGAAATAAAAATCCCCCACCCCTGTCTCCCAAAATCAGGGACAAAAGCCAACAGATATTCCATTTCCCTTTATGCAACATCCACTCGCACCATCGCGATGGCTGCTCACACGCGTGTGCGTGTGTTCCAGCGAGCACGCGCCTCATTTTCGTGGGTTATTAATTAAGGGGTGGCGCGGTGTATCTGATTCGGCAGAAAAAATGGGTCACTTCCCTCTTCTTTTAGAAATTGAAACTTGAAATTCAGCGGACCGTGACTGCGAACGGCTGCACGCTTCGTCGGAAATTGTATCGGGGGAGACAAGACCTTTTTACGGGGACGAAGATGAATTTAATGCAGGTCCTCCGTCGCCCCTTCTCATCCCTTCCACTTCGTTCCTTCAATTTCCTACATTTTCAAGAATGCAAGAGGGTCCTAACATAATTGCACGACCCGTAACGAGGTCGAGCGACACTTGTGCCTGTTTTCTTCCTTAATGAATACGTTTCCCGATAAATCGCCCGTTTCTTTCCGGCATAATGTATAGAGATATAGCGCACAGAGGGTACAGTGCTCCACGAAAGTATTCAAACAGCCTGTTCTCTTCGCATATATTCATCAAACTGCGATATTTATGGCCTAAAACGACTGGGATGAGATTTGTGAAACGTGAAAACGTTTCATCCCCGTTCGTCGCATAAAATATAAGGTGTTTTCTGCCACGAGATTTGAAAGGATTAACCCTTTCCATTTGAGAGGAGATCTTCAGTTGCTATTCAATAAAATTTCCAAGACCGATATTAATTGATATATTAAATTTAGGACAATGCAGTGGCGTGCGAGGTATGAAAATTAATTATTCCATTAATGTTAATTATTATACGTTAGTTAATTATTATACAAATTTTTATTAACTGTTTTAAAAAATATTTAATTCGGTTTTGTGGCAGAAAATTATTGAATTTCTGGTTTTCTATATAGAGAAGATGGTCGAGTGGAAAGAATTAATAGTGAAATTGATAATAATTTGGTACCCTTCGTGTCGTAATTTTTGCAATTGTTTTAGATATTATGAATAAATATTATTTATGGTCCTTAGATATGGGTTATGAAATTTTTTAAGCTGCAAGACAATTATTATATTAACAGACATTTTTGTATTTAATACAAACGCTATTGTAGAGGGGTCTTTTAGTAAAGAATAGAATTTATAGTATGCTGATTTTATAAGGTGTTAAGTGTATTGTATATAGCATTCGAATATACATATATATATTAAACATTTTTATAAGTATTCGAATATCTTTGAAAATTTAAAATGATAGTAAGAAAATTTTAAATAATATAAATAATAAATATAAATATATATATTTATTTATATTTACTATTTATATTATTATTTGTATTATAATGTCGCTTTAATGTTATATTATTCGTGTCGCCATAGCAACAGGACATTTTGCTATACTTTTTAATACGCTATTTTAGGGTAGCCTTTTAATAAACGATTAGAATCTATAGTCTGCTAATTTTATAAGGTGTTTAAATACTTATAAAATACTTTCATAAATATTCGAATACTTTTAAAAATTTAAAATGATAGAATATTTTAAATAATATAAATAATAAATATAAATTTAAATATAAATATATGTATTTGTTTATATTTACTATTTATATTATAATGTCGCGTTAATATTATATTATTCTCGTTGATATTATATTATTCGTGTCGCCATAGCAACAGGAGATTTTTCTATATTTTTCAATTCACATTTCTTTTCACATTTCCCTCAATACGACGCAATAATGAGGAACGTGTTCGGAGCGAAACAAAACTTAATTTTTCTACGGGTATTATAATTATGTGATTCACCGTAGACTGCTGCACGTCAGTGCATTTTACATTGAAGGCGAAAATGTCGCGCCAGTTTTAACGTCGGGAAATAAACAGCTGCCACTGTTTCGAATACGTGCGTTAACGACCCCGCGACGTTCACACACGTTTACACACACTCACGCACGCCCACACACCCTCACGCCCGCTTTCTTTCAACTCCCATACTACTTCATATTAAATTGCAATTTTTTAACTTCCCTCCATACCTTTTTGCTGGATTATTTCCTTTGTTTCACTGTTTCACGTCGCAATTTTAAAAAATTTTTTTATCCATCTTCCTCACATCCCCATTTTGTGAAATTTCATTCCAGACTTCCGTTTGTTACCGGAAGCATTATATCTTAGTTTCAAATATAATTATATTCCCAACCTGCTGTGTAAAAATTTGGACAAGGTATTCTATTTTATAATTTTTATTTAAAAGTGAGCTGCTTCAATAGCTGTAAAATAATTAATTTTTGAAAGCATCGTGCTTAATAATTTTATTCGATTAATTTTATAACGATCAAAAATTATAATTAAAGTGTATTAAAATTATATTTTATTTTATTAAATATTCCAGACACCAGAAATGAATCACTTTCGAGTACGATGA